CAATTTTTTCTTTCCTCTGAAAAATTTTTGTTTTCTGGGCCTAGGACATTTGAACAGCTGGTGGAAGATTTGCTTTTATTTTTTGTGTGCTATTTATTGCTAAAGACTGTTTTGTTTCCTTTTCTGCCAGGTTCAAGGGAAATAAAGATTCATATTGACATTTCCAAAAAACAAAGTCTCCTGGTTTTTATTGTATCAGTTGATTGCTGTCAGATTTTCAGTTCATCAAAGTAGTGTCAGAACACATGTTTTGTATCACGTGATATCGTTAACCAATACAAAATACAGTGGAGTCCACTTAAAACAAACTCTCTGGGACAGTAGGATTTTCTCCGGTTTAGATGAGTTTTTGGTTTGCAGAGGTCGCTCGAAAAGAAGCAAAAAATCTAGGCTTTCATTTTCTTTCGATTTACCTGTTTTCAGATTAACTGTGTTCGGTGAAAGTAGACTCCACTGCTTACTTATGACTATGACTGGTCCCAAAATTATTACTGAGCTATTTCATAAGACAACAATTCTTTGCCATTGGCTTAGGGAAGTGCGAGCGCCTGACATGCCATGGTGCACTTGATACAAAATATAGAAGTTCCTATTTTTGTTCGCTTTTACACAAGTGTCATAAAGTAAAGTAGTTCTCAGTAACATTTTGACATCAAAGTACCCGGTATGGTGCTTGTAGCTTCTTACTTCGCCTGGATGTTGTTATATTGTGTGCATTCTGAGATGGCAGATGAACACACAGAAAAGAGGAAGGCCTTACCCGAGCCATCAGTCACCCTAGATTCTGTGATGAATGTACCTAATGCAAGACAAATATGACATAACTCCAAGAAAAACATTTTTATAAAAAGTTTAATCACAAAAGTGGTATTAAATTAGATTGCATTATATACAAAAACCTTACATTTGTTCATCAGCGTGGATGAGAGCGTTTGTCACAGTGGAAACACAATGACAGCATAATATTGTCACAGTCCGACACTCACGATGACAGCATATTGTCACGTTCTAACACTCACGATGACAGCATATTGTCACAGTCTGACACTCACGATGACAGCATATTGTCACGTTCTAACACTCACGATGACAGCATATTGTCACGTTCTAACACTCACAATGACAGCATATTGTAACGTTCTGTTCTGACACTCACTATGACAGCATATTGTCACATTCTAACACTCACAATGACAGCATATTGTCACGTTCTGTTCTGACACTCACTATGACAGCATATTGTCACAGTCTGACACTCACAATGACAGCATATTGTCACAGTCAAAACACAATAGTCTAAATCATTTTTGTTCAGGTTTCTAGTTATGGATAAGGCAAAATGTCCTGATACTTGCTTCTATCCTCAATATGTGAGGGGTGCTGACAAAATGAATGACTTCTCACAATCCACAAATGGAAATTTTGGCCAAAAACTGACCCAAGGGTCAAATTTGTCCATTTTCTTTTGATGCCACCTTCTTCAAGTATAACAAGTCTTTCATTACGTCCTACTTACCATATACATCTATTTCCATGGGGCTCAAATCAGAGAAGTAACTCATTTTGTCAGCACGCTTCACATATATATATATATAAGATAAGATATAGTCAGGTTTTTGCTTCATCCACTGACCCAGTCACTGAGACATTCATTTTAGCTTTAGCTCAACTCAGGATAGCTGTGGTTTTTACATTTTAAAAATCTAAGTTTTCTCAAAACAACAAAAAATGGCAGTGGGTGGTTGTCGGGTGATGTGATGTGGTTTGCTCCTTCTTTCCTACCACACATTTATCGTCCTTATCTCAACTCCCTTCTTTTCTTTGTATTTTGTATGTTACTCTCTGTTACCACCTCTAATCTGCGGCTCTTTGTGTTGCAAGTGCAATAAAACTATTAAAACTCTTACTACAACTATAACAAAAATTAATGACAAGTGGGTGGTTGGCGATGCTGTTATGTGGTTTGCTCCTTCTTTTCTATCAAACATCATCTATCGTCCTAATCTTTCCTCCATCTTTTATTTGTATGATGTAACTGTCTAGTAACACCAATTACTTTTGGCACTTATGTGAATTAATATTGTTGCAAGTGCCGTTAAACTCTAACAAAAACTAAAAATGACAAATGCCATTGTGTAACAACGTTAATGATTACGACGTGGCAAACAAACACTTGTATAGATATATTTGAGTTACCTTGCGTTCTCAGAACAGGCTGTACGCATTCACCAATACACACACATGCACAAATATCTGGTCACATACAAGTTTCAACCAATCATCTCCCTAGACTGCACACACAAGCACCTGGCAGCATAGCCTTCATACAAAACAAATTGCAACAATCTGTCCTTTCGTCCTAAATTTAAAATAACAATAAAAACCCATCCCTGCAACTGGAGTTGTAGACAAAAAACAAAATTGTTAATGTTAAAAATTTGTTCCCCAAAAAGAAAAAAAGCAGGACCTAAGAGCAAGAATGGCGAGACAACTGGTCGCCTTTAATGACAAGTGGGCTAAGTCAGATTTCGGGGGTTTCCAGAAATCTTGACCTACACCAAAAGTGGACATTGCCCTACCTACAGGAGAAGTTTGGTTTCATTGGTGTGTATATTTGTTTGGTTATAGAGAAAACTCTCCTTGTCTTTTAAAGAGACTGAACAAGGGGCAAAAACTTTACCTTCGATTTTCTCAAAACAACATTTTTCGGGATAGCCCCCTTGTGCTTAAGCAAGACAACATTCCTTGTCATACCGTCGCTATATTTTCTATGTCATAAAAACTTCCATCACATCTACGATGGCACTGAGGCACACCCACCACAGTTCAGTTGGTTTCATGCTGGACTAAAGTAAAATGGTGACGCTTGCTTCAAAACAACTCCGGTGGACCTTTCTTGAACTTCAATTGTTTGTTTGGTTACAAAGCTCTCCTCTCCACTGGCTTAGTCCTATCGGAAATGGACTTTAAATTTATTTTTGTTGGGTTTTCTTTTTAAGTAGGTGTTTTTATCAACTATTGACTGCAAAGACTATGTCTCTCCTGTGTTGGAGCATGTATCAAGGAAGTCGAGATCTGAAAGGAGGGAGGAGTAGTACTTGAAGAAATTACTTCCTCTATGTCTACTACCCAGACAAAGCTGTATCATCACATAAACCACTTAAGTCATCATTGGTATAGATGAACAGCTGAATGTCCAATATGATGTACTTGTACTGCTCAATAGAAAATGAAAAGCCTTAAATTTGTCACTTCATTGCAATACATATATATAAAGCCAACACTCGTTATGATTTGTACATTCTCGTTCTTATGCTTAGAACTTCCAGCTCCCTTACATCTCCTGTACAATTTTGTTCTCTGTCTGTTGTTACAGGAACTGCTAGGTTTTTGTTTCTGCTCAATCTGACCAGACACTTTGAGTGTTCAAACTCTGGTCTTTAGTGCTTCTCTCTGATGAAGGTTCGTTTCATGCAATGTCACAATGTGTAACTCTGATCTTCAGTGCCACTCTGATGAAGGTGGCCTAGTGGTTAGGCTACCAGACTCGTAATCGTGGGGTTCGAGCCGCGGGGCCGACCTGGAGTCCTTGGGAAATGCACTTTCAACAGATTTTCCTCACTTCACTCAAGTGAGAATGGGTTCCCGGCCATAGACAGCAAAAGATCTTGTCAGTATGTGAGTGTTTTAGCGCCTACAAATGGCTGCTTGCACTGTATGCTTCTTAGGAAGTTGAGGTTGTTTCACAATGCTCTCAGGTCTGCTAGGGTAATAGTATAGATTTGTGACGCGCATAGAGCTTGCTGTTGAGCGAGGATTTGTGCAATACAAATGCTATCTATTATTATCATTATTACAATGTGTAACTCTGGTCTTCGATGCCACTCTGATGAAGGTCTGTTTCATACAAAGTGTAAAACTCCTCTCCTCCCATCCATTTTTTCAACACAAAGACAACAAAGCTCACTGACTTCTTCATTCTTCATACTGTTTAGATATTTGAGAATTTAAAGTTATCAATATCATATAGGAGCTCATCCTTGTGCCTAATGATCAACATCATGGTGGATGATTTTACAGCAACACGGGAACACATACAGCTGTTAGGACTGCTACAACGGTGCACCAAGAACAGGAACACGTACAGCTGTAACACTGCTTCAACGGAGCACCAAGAACGGGAACACATACATACAGCTGTAACACTGCTTCAACGGTGCACCAGGAACTGGTACAGCTATAACACTGCTACAACGGTGCACCAAGAACGGGAATACATACAGCTGTAACACTGCTACAACGGTGCACCAGGAACGGGAATACATACAGCTGTAACACTGCTACAACGGTGCACCAGGAACTGGTACAGCTATAACACTGCTACAACGGTGCACCAGGAACTGGTACAGCTATAACACTGCTTCAACGGTGCACCAGGAACTGGTACAGCTATAACACTGCTACAACGGTGCACCAGGAACGGGAATACATACAGCTGTAACACTGCTACAACGGTGCACCAGGAACGGGAATACATACAGCTGTAACACTGCTACAACGGTGCACCAGGAACTGGTACAGCTATAACACTGCTACAACGGTGCACCAAGAACGGGAATACATACAGCTGTAACACTGCTACAACGGTGCACCAGGAACGGGAACTGGTACAGCTGTAACACTGCTACAACGGTGCACCAGGAACGGAAACTAACATAGCAGTAAGACTGCCACAACAGTTCAACAGTAATCAGACAATCACAATCAATAAATTAGAATAACAAAAGTAATTACAACTTCAGGCAAGGTAGTCGTCACATAAACATCCCAATATATTCCACATGAACAAGCTGAAAAAAAAATTCTTATAACTTAGTATCGTCCACTTGGGACAAACAAATCACTCAAATGATTCTCAATCCCAGTACAAGGCAACAAATCTACTTCGTGTGATGGGACTGTCCACTTCAATCTTATGTCATTCAGCACTTTTCTTTCTCTTCTTTTACAACAGTACAACACGTCCCCACGCAGCAAATGAACACAAACCGTTCTCCCTCTTCCTCAATCTCAAACACAAACTATTCTCACTTACTTCCTCAATCACAAACACAAACTATTCTCACTTTTCCTCAATAACAAACACAACCCATTCTCAATCTTCCTCAACCACAAACACAAACACTCTCTCACTTTCAGTCTCGGATCACTCATTTCTTTGGTTTCTTTAACGGCGGCGGCTGCATCTGAGTGGCTTCCCCTGCAGAGCTCTCCACACTCGGGGGAGGGGCGAGTTGTAACAACTGAAACAGACAGAGAATTGAGAGAGTCAATGTTAGTTGTAACAACTACAACAGACAGAGAATTGAGAGAGTCAATGTTAGTTGTAACAACTACAACAGATAGAGAGAATTGAGAGAGTCAATGTTAGTTGTAACAACTACAACAGACAGAGAGAATTGAGAGAGTCAATGTTAGTTGTAACAACTGCAACAGACAGAGAATGGAAAAAGTAAGAAATGTCCGATATATCATGCATGCTAGAGACATTACACTACCAACCATAGAATTACAAAGTTCTATCTGCTCAGAACCCAACCCAGTTCTGAGAAATTGAACGTTTCATTAAAAAATGTTGAGTTTCACAACATCGCAAGCTTTTTCGAATGCAATTCTTTCAATATCTTGATAACGACTCCGAATAATCTTAAGATTTTGATAGAGCCGATAGATATATAGAACATTTGGTTTCTGACCTCATGGTCTTTGTGACTCAAAATGGCTAAAAATATCAGATAAAAGTGTGTAATACTAAGGTAGCAGTTATACAACAAACCAACACGTAAGATTTATATCCTTTCTAGTGTGTATGCAAGAGTGAACATGAACTTTGTACGTAACACCATTGCCATTGTGAATGACTAAGACAAATTTCTCCTGCAAGATGAATTATATTTAAGACTGTCAATGTCATCTAATACTCAAAAGTCAAACGAACGAACTGGATTAGAAATGTGAAACTCAATGCAACATCAGCCCGACTTGCTAAAAATGTCAAACTAACATGTTGGAAATGTCGGGTTAACCAGCTAATATATCAGGTTGACTTTGCTGCCAAATCCTGCTAATTTGCTGAGAAATCTGCTGACAAAAATGAGGTAATCAGCTGACAAAAATGAGGTAATCAGGTGAAACATCAGGTAATCAGGTGAAACGTCAGGTATACTCACAGGTGCTCCGCTGAGGGAGACGGGGACCGGGATTGTAATGATCTGCTGCTGTTGGCCTGAGGGCAAACACAAAACAAAAAACCAAATGTTATAACATACAAAGAATGACATAGTCTATGAAGATATACAGTGATGCTATCTGGGAACAAAAACAAACAAAAAAACCCCCAAAAAACGTTATAACCTATAAAGAAAGACATAATCCATGGAGATATACAGTGATGCTATCTGAGAACAAAAACAAAAAATGAACACCCGCCAACAACCCACTGTTATACATGCAATGACACAGATGGAGATGAACAGCAATGCAGGTTCTACCAGGTCTTAGAAAAAATGGTTGAACAAAGAACATATATACATTCATACGTATACATTGCATTTCGAGCTCATCCTACTTGAAATATTTCTATTCACTAACTACAAGGGTCTCAAATTCGGGATTGAAGCCCGCAGGATGATATTTTGCTGACCTTACTTGATGTCATAGGTTTAGTGTTACTGGTGCTGCCAAAACTGTCAATTTTTTAGAGGAGAATTGTCCCCGACCTTCCCTGAACTTTCCAGCTATAAAAAAGATTTAGCCAGTCACAGGTATATATAAAATAAAAAAGTGAAAAACAGAACAAAAACAGTTAATGTAATTGTAAAGGGAAAAAAAAAGCAAACACAGCGACACACTGGCCACCACACAAACTTCCAACAGCTGGGAGACTAGAGTGGAGCTCTACCTGACGGTTGGTCGGCCTGCGTCATAGAGATGGCCGTGGCAGGTTGCTGGAAGTTGAAGATGGTGCGGTCCTGGATGTTCTGTGTGGGCGTGGCGTACACGACGCCTTGTGGTGTGTGGTACATCACAATGCCGGGGGTCATTCCTGCCACAGAGAATATAATTATTGTGTGTAGTCTGCCACAGAGAATATAATTAATGTGAGTAGTCTGCCACAGAAAATATAATTATTGTGTGTAGTCTGCCACAGAGAATATAATTATTGTGAGTAGTCTGCCACAGAGAATATAATTATTGTGTGTAGTCTGCCAAAGAGAATATAATTATTTATTGTGAGTAGTCTGCCACAGAGAATATAATTATTGTGTGTAGTCTGCCACAGAGAATATAATTATTGTGTGTAGTCTGCCACAGAGAATACAATTATTGTGTGTAGTCTGCCACAGAGAATATAATTATTGTGTGTAGTCTGCCACAGAGAATATATATAATTATTGTGTGTAGTCTGCCACAGAGTAAATAATTATTGTGTTTGGTCTGCCGCAGAGAATATATATAATTATTGTGAGTAGTCTGCCACAGAGAATATATATATATAATTATTGTGAGTAGTCTGCCACAGAGAAACAGAGGGGTTGTATAGTTATTGCGTTTAGTCCTTTCCCCGTCGTTTTATGCAAGAAAAATTCTGAAATTATGCAAACTGAGCCAAAAAATGTGAAATTATGCGATTCTGTTAATTTTAACAAAGAATGATAAAGGAAAATAATCAGAAATTATGCAAAAAAATGATCAAATTTTGCTAAATTATGCGGGGTACATAAAATCATGGGGACAGGTAGTCTGCCACAGAGAAAGAGAGGTGTTGTGTAGTTATTGTGTGTAGTCTGCCACAGAGAAAGAGAGGTTTTGTGTAGTTATTGTGTGTAGTCTGCCACAGAGAAAGAGAGGAGTTGTGTAGTTATTGTGTGTAGTCATTTGTACCACAGAGAGAAAGAGATGATGAACATGTGTTGTCATTTGTGACATAGAGAGAGAGAGAGATGATGTGTTACATGTGTATTCATTTGTGACAGAGAGAGAAAGAGATGATGTGTACATGTGTTGTCATTTGTGACACAGAGAGAGAGAGAGATGTGTACATGTGTTGTCCTTTGTGACACAGAGAGAGAGAGATGGTGTGTACATGTGTTGTCATTTGTACCACGGAGAGAGAGAGGTGATGTGTACATGTGTTGTCATTTGTACCACGGAGAGAGAGAGGTGATGTGTACATGTGTTGTCATTTGTGACACTCGGAGAGAGAGAGAGATGTGTACATGTGTTGTCATTTGTGACACAGAGAGAGAGAGGTGATGTGTACATACATGTGTTGTCATTTGTGACACAGAGAGAGAGAGAGAGAGAGAGATGTGTACATGTGTTGTCATTTGTGACACACAGAGAGAGAGGTGATGTGTACATACATGTGTTGTCATTTGTGACACAGAGAGAGAGAGAGATGATGTGTACATGTGTTGTCATTTGTGATACAGAGAGACAGAGATGATGTGTACATGTGTTGTCATTTGTGATACAGAGAGAGAGAGATGATGTGTACATGTGTTGTCATTTGTGACACAGAGAGAGAGAGATGATGTGTACATGTGTTGTCATTTATGACACAGAGAGAGAGAGAGAGACTTGATGTATATTCATGATATATCGTTAGCCACATGATTCAACTCCCTACGTACAGGGAGACAAATTTTACAGGAGGAGCAAAAAACTGTTTCATTTCCTTTTGCTTGTACCTATACATCTGACATTCAGATGTATGAAAACCAGTTGGGGTTTTTTTTGTTGGGATTTTTTGTTGTTTTTTTATGGCTGTGTTACATAAGTTGCTGCACACAGGTGTTTGAGATATCTACCCGAATCTGCGTGATTGAACCACCGAAGTGACAGTATGGCGTTTGGGCGTTTGAATCACGTTAATCAAAGCGACATGCTTGACTTAGTTTTAGTAAGAGTTTTACGGCACTTGCAACACAATAAGGTCATAGAAGTGCCGAAAAGATTAGAGATGTTACAAGAGAGTAACAAACACAAAAATGAAGGAGGAGAGATCAGAACAATAGATGTTTGATAGGAAAGAAGGAGCAAACCACACCAGAGCACCCGCCAACCACCCACTTGCTTGACTTAAGGACTACAGACAAAGACAACAGTTTTTAAGAGTAGGCCTAATCATACAGCCGTTCCATGTTAATTTCAATTGCGTGTAATGCAAACCGAGTCAAGATATTAGTATTTTTAGTAAGAATATAAATTGTAAGGTTCAGTATAATTAATTTAATCCTGTAATAAAATACAGATGCTTTCAACACTGGCACTAACAGGACAGCTTCCAAGTCCATACAAATGTAACAAACTACACACAATCTGGGCCGATCCACTGGATTTTGTGCAAGCTTCTTGTCCAATTCCTTCTCCTAACTTGCCCGGATTTTGCTTCAACAAGCATTTCTCTTTCTTTTGTTTTTACACAAGTTTTCTTTCTTCTTCTCCTTTGAGTTCCCCTGCAAGATCTCAGAGGTAGTCAACTGCTGGTTCTTCAACCTGCACTGCAACTGATTTTTATTTTTATGTATGTGATTATTTATTCAACTTAGCAGGGTCCCTTGCCTTCAAGCAGGCACTTTCCGATTTCAAAAGTATTCTATACAAATATATGTTTTTGTTGGGTTTTTTACTAACTAGAGTATTTTCAGTTTTGGTAGGAATTAATTTTGAACTTTTTGAGGGTAGCAGCAAAGACCTACTCATATTGACTTGAAGGCCACGAAGTCATTTTTCACTTGCACAACTTTCACACAGGACTTTTGAGATTTTTCACCCTTCTCCGAGATAGCTAGGAGTTTGATCTTACCTACCCTAAGATCAGGAGTGTGGCTGAAAGACAGCAGTAAGAAGGAGCAAGGAGTAGCAGTAGAAAGAGTTACGGGTAAAGAACAAACAAACCCAGAGGAGACCCGGGATGGGGGGAAAATGTGGAGATGAAAGCAGATGACATGATGAGAGATTGGAAAAGGAAGTGAAAAGAGTAAATTTTAGAGAAGAAAATATTTTCTTCGCTGTCAGGTTTTGAACCCGGGACCTTTTGAATGAAAGGCAAACACCATACGTCTAAACTCCAAGAGCCTCCAGTTTCCTTCCAACTGCCAACCACACACACCACATTATCCTTACCATGCACACGCAAAGACAGGTTGCTCTTTTGAAACATCTCTCTAAAAGTTGTCTGAGACAGTGCATTGCGGTCTTGCTCTTCACATTTTCTTCTATATTCTTTGTAAAGGTCTGCAATGCTTTGAGAATCACAATCAAGAATGAGTTTTCCTGTATTCTCTTCGCAGTCATAGGAAGGCATTTTGTCAAGTTTGTCGAAGAATTCCTTCACAAGAAACTGTTTGTCATCTTCTGCTCTCAGGTAATATGACAATCTTCCAGCTCCCTTATCCGAGTCATGGGAACTTTCGTTACCTTCTTTACAACAGCTACGAATAAACCACTGTGAGAGGCCAGTTGTATTCATGAACATTGTTTTGCAGACTGGCAGAATTTCACCAGAGATTCGTTTTAAATGAAAGAGTAGAGTCTGAAGCCTACAAGAATCTACAGACACTCTCCTGCGTTTCACTGGAATTTGATGAATGAGTTCTTTGCTGAACTCCCTTTTAGCTGCGTCTGTAAGGCTCCATACATGTTTGAACATTGCTTCTCTATCCTCCTGAGTGAATTCCCGACACTTCATGGAAGCAGCTTTACACGAGCAAGGCTCTTTCATTTCGCGAGCTGGGATCTCTTTTCCCCTTTGGGTGACATAGGGTTGACCCTTGCAGCGGAGTTCTTGCCTTTTAATTTGTTTCCACTCTCTTTGACGCATTCCTTTTCGCTTTAGGGTATTGTGGACTGCGTCTTCATACGCTATGAGGTTTTTAACAAAAGCAGCTGTTTCTGTTTCTCGGAGTTCAGGAACAGTAACAGCGGTAGGTGCAGCTGTACTGCCAACTGAAACTTCTACAGGAGAAGTTGTTGGAAACTGGGAAGAATTATGTACCTCGTTAGCAATATCATTATACTGAGCTTCTGAATTAGCAGAAACAGGATCATCTTTGTCAGTATTCTGAGGTTCTGATTCAGAAGTAACAGGATCGTTGGCGGGAGACTGAGGTTCTGAATCAGTAGTAACAGGATGATCGTTGGCAGTATACTGAGATTCTGAATCAGCAGTAACAGAAATTCCCTTGTCCGAGTCATGGGAATTTTTTTTACCTTCTTTACAAAATCTATGAATAAACCACTGTGAGAGGCCAGTTGTATTCATGAACATTGTTTTGCAGACTGGCAGAATTTCACCAGAGATTCGTTTCAAATGAAAGAGTAGAGTCTGAAGCCTACAAGAATCCGCAAACACTCTCCTGCGTTTCACTGGAATTTGATGAATGAGTTCTTTGCTGAACTCCCTTTTAGCTGCGTCTGTAAGGCTCCATACATGTTTGAACATTGCTTCTCTATCCTCCTGAGTGAATTCCCGACACTTCATGGAAGCAGCTTTACACGAGCAAGGCTCTTTCATTTCGCGAGCTGGGATCTCTTTTCCCCTTTGGGTGACATAGGGTTGACCCTTGCAGCGGAGTTCTTGCCTTTTAATTTGTTTCCACTTTCTTTGGCGCATTCCTTTTGGCTGTGTACCAATGGTAGATGAAGCTGTAGTGCACACTGAAACTTCTGCAGGAGAAGTTGTTGGATGTTGGGATGAATTATGTACCTCGTTAGCAATATCATTATACTGAGCTTCTGAATTAGAAGTAACAGGATCATCTTTGGCAGTATACTCAGGTTCTGAATTAGAGGTAACAGGATCGCTGGCAGGAGACGGAGGTTCTGAATCAGAAGTGACAGGAGGAATGTTGGCAGTATTCTGAGGTTCTGAATCAGAAGTAACAGGATCGTTGGCGGGAGACTGAGGTTCTGAATCAGTAGTAACAGGATGATCGTTGGCAGTATACTGAGATTCTGAATCAGCAGTAACAGAAATTCCCTTGTCCGAGTCATGGGAATTTTTTTTACCTTCTTTACAAAATCTATGAATAAACCACTGTGAGAGGCCAGTTGTATTCATGAACATTGTTTTGCAGACTGGCAGAATTTCACCAGAGATTCGTTTCAAATGAAAGAGTAAAGTCTGAAACCTACAAGAATCCGCAAACACTCTCCTGCGTTTCACTGGAATTTGATGAATGAGTTCTTTGCTGAACTCCCTTTTAGCTGCGTCTGTAAGGCTCCATACATGTTTGAACATTGCTTCTCTATCCTCCTGAGTGAATTCCCGACACTTCATGGAAGCAGCTTTACACGAGCAAGGCTCTTTCATTTCGCGAGCTGGGATCTCTTTTCCCCTTTGGGTGACATAGGGTTGACCCTTGCAGCGGAGTTCTTGCCTTTTAATTTGTTTCCACTTTCTTTGGCGCATTCCTTTTGGCTGTGTACCAATGGTAGATGAAGCTGTAGTGCACACTGAAACTTCTGCAGGAGAAGTTGTTGGATGTTGGGATGAATTATGTACCTCGTTAGCAATATCATTATACTGAGCTTCTGAATTAGCAGAAACAGGATCATCTTTGTCAGTATACTCAGGTTCTGAATTAGAGGTAACAGGATCGTTGGCGGGAGACAGAGGTTCTGAACCAGTAGTAATAGGAATGTTGGCAGTATTCTGAGGTTCTGAATCAGTAGTAACAGGAATGTTGGCAGTATTCTGAGGTTCTGAATCAGTAGTAACAGGAATGTTGGCAGTATTCTGAGGTTCTGAATCAGTAGTAACAGGAATGTTGGCAGTATTCTGAGGTTCTGAATCAGTAGTAATAGGAATGTTGGCAGTATTCTGAGGTTCTGAATCAGTAGTAACAGGATTTTTGGCAGTACACTGAGGGTCTGAACTGGAAGTGACAGGATCATTGACGGTATGCTCATGTTCTGGATCAGAAGTAACAGGTGATGCCAAAAGGACAGCAGACGGTGATTTGGGCTGTTGTTCAGCTGCAACGACAAAAGACAAAGCTTCCTCTGCTTGCTGTGTCCTTTCTCCTGTACTTGTATGTGGTGCACTTGGATCTTGCAGTAATTGTGAAGTTTCAAGAGGTGCTAGCTCAATGTCTGAAAATTAAAACGGAGAGGAAGAAAAACAGCTAGTTATATGAAATAGGCGGACACATAACAGCAAAAACAATCTGAGACTCTACAGTAAAACGAAGATTTTATTTTCGGAAGGACAGACCTATCACCACCTCAGAATTACAAAGTGCCACCTGCTCAATACAAAGTTTTGAAATTTGACATCAAAAGTTTTGAGTTTTACACATGTCAAGCTTTTTTAATGCAATTCTTTGAATATCTTGATGACGGCTCCGAATTTTCTTACGAATTTGATAGAGCAGATACAGCATTTATTGGTCTCTGACCTCATAGTCTCAGTAACTCAGAATGTCCAAAAATGTCAGATAAAACTTCGTAATTCTGAGATAGCGAATTGTGACAAAAAAACAACAGGAGAGACAGGCAGGTAGCTAGGTATTTGATAGATAGATACTGGAAAAGATAGGCGCTTGGACAAAATATAGAGTAATAGATACTCAAAGAGAAAATTGAAACGACAAGCAAAATGCAAGCAATAGTGTAATAATAGCAAGGATGATAACAACACGCCTGTGTTTATGGGGATAGTAAGAAAACTTATATCAATAAGAATAGCAATGTAAATAATAATGATGAGTGTGATAATATAGTCCCAATGATAATGGTAACAGTCACAGTAATAATGAGGGAGAGGGAGACTTCCTGGAAATGACACATACAAGTGACATTTCTTCTTCTTCTTCTTTTTCTTCTTCTTCTTCTTATTATTATTATTATTATCACTAATGGTGACAATGATAATGATAATAATATGAAAACTTTAAGAAATTATAATAAAGATAATAATAAGAAAGAGAATAGTCATAATAATAATAATAGTCATGATAATAATGATGATGATAATAATAATAATTATAATAATAATAGAGATATCTTATAACTTGCCTTTTTTGTTGCTTTGCTCTTTTCCTTCGGATGTTGAAGCCAGTGGCGTTTCCTCCAATGGAATGTCGAATTCATGCGGATCAAAATCCAAATGCTCTGCATCACCAAAGAAGACGTTTCCGAGAATTGGGTTGGCAGTTCCAGAAGAAAGGCAAAGGTTTGTTGAAGAGAAAGTACTGTTCGAATGTGTTGTAGAGTTGCTTTTTTCAAGTGACAACTTACAAGTATCTTCCCGATTCTGTTAAACTGATCCATGACTCAAGAATGATTCATCACACACACACAGCAAGACGCACACACTTAAAGGGACCTAAGATTCATGGAACATTTCAATTTAGAGATCTTTATCCAAAAGCCAAAGTGGTAAAGATTTTTACCAATGAATGTTATAAACAAAAAACTCAGGGCACCTTAGCCAGCTGTCAATCACAAACAAGTTTTAATTCACTGATCAATGGCTTTTGGCACAATTCACTGACTTGGTCAAGCCAGTATTAACATTAATTTCTTGATGTCGTCTCACCAACTTAGTCAAGCCAGTATTAACATTAATTTCTTTGATGTCGTCTTGCCCTTTCTCAACAACACAACCAAACCTGATTGATAACGCAAACTGTCTGGCCAAAAAAACGCTGGTCATCGGTAGGATTCGATATAAGTCAATCTCAACAAAGGCGGTATTTTCTTTTGATGTTACCCTCCAGTCCACTTTGACAAAAGCCACAGTCAAGTGGGTTGCTCCACCTACGGAATAGGTGGACACCCCAAAAAATCACTGGATGTGATTCAATCGCCCATTCGCCACGAATTTTACATGCAAATTTGGGACTGGCAGATATGGGCAATTGATTTATTGATTGATTAACACACTTTGCAGTATTCCTCTGAACTCCAGATTTTGACATATGGTGTATCAAAGCTTATACTACGGTATATAAAGGGATGAAAATGTTATTTTCAAAAATTTGGTCGTTAAGATGGTTGAATCAAGTGGGTAACGATATATCTGGCTTTTTACATCTTAACAGACAACTTTAAAGCAGTAGGCATGACACAGCTTTGTCTGGACAGCAGATATTGAGGAAGTAAATTGCCCAAGTACTACTTCCCTTACTTCAGATATTGACATCCTTGATATGCTCTCAAGGAGAGACATCGCCACTTCTTTTGGAATCAGGGAAAGTGTAAGGATGTGTCTTATTATTTCACAAGTGTGGTAGGGATGCTTTTTTTATGGCAATTAATTTAAAAAGTTGCCTAGGTGCATGTATAGTATGTGTTTTTGCCCAGTCATAAAGTCCCTGTCTACGGTGGTTCATCTTTTCATCTTGGGTGTTTCCAGATACTATCCAAGAACAATAAGTAAATGCTATTGAACATTGAAAATTTTTCTGATAATCTAATTCAGAAATTACAACTTAATCTTTATAGCCGTGCTTGACAACCTGGGCGACATTGCCAGCTAGAGGGTGATTTGGTCATTTTAGTGGGTGGTGGGGATCATCCGTGTGGCAACTGGTATTTTTTATTGTCCTGCTTGGAAATACATATAAGAGGGCGAATTGAAATTTGTTTGTATTTTTAGCCTCTTAACTCCTATCAGACTGCAAATGAGAATACTCCCAAAGCCCGACTTCTAAATAGTTGTGGTGAAGTTTCATGACTACACCTTAACATGGGACCGAGTTATTCATATTTGAAGTAAAACCTATCTCCCATAGTCAGATAGTAGGGCAGCTGCTTTTTTCCTTGGGTACTAAAAGTCAAGTGTGAGGCGGTCCCATAGGTGTGCAAGGTGGCAAAGTGAGCGCTGACAACAAAACAGTTGACAAGCGCTGACAATAAAACAGTCGACAAGCGCTGACAATAAAACAGTTGACAAGCGCTGACAACAAAACAGTTGACAAGCGCTGACAATAAAACAGTTGACAAGCGCTGACAATAAAACAGTTGACAAGCGCTGACAACAAAACAGTTGACAAGCCTTTATGGGAACACAGTTTAGATTTAGTAGGAGTCTTACGGCACTTGCAACACAATAAGGTCATATAAGTGCCGAAGATTAGAGGTGTTACAAGAGAGTAACAAAGACAAAAAAGAAGGAAAAGAGATAGAGGCGACAGATTTTTATTATAGGAAAGAAGGAACAAACCACACCAGAGCACCCACCAACCACCCACTATAGGAACACAGCAGATCACTTCTTCTATTATCGAAAGCAGAAATGTCCGGCTTACCTTGCATGATATTGATTGCTGACGGAGTGCTGGCAGGCAGAGGTGTGTTCAGTTCACCTGTTTGATTGTTCTGTGTGCTCGAGACCATTTGACCTGGAACAGCAAAGGTCGGTGTTGAGTTTTAACCCTATCCGTACGTCATATTTTACTATCGCATCCATACAACGCGGGGAACTCTGTGCCACCACTCAATCCTATCCGTACGTCGTGTTTTACTATCGTATCCATACAGCGTGGGGAACTCTGTACCACCACTTTCCAAAGAGGACATTTTCTTGTTAATCCGATCCGAAAGCTTTGCATAGCAGTCTGTCAAAAATTACTTTTTGAAAAATACTGAAAGTTTCACAGAGATCTCCACACTAAAAGTATTCTGAAATGTGAAGAATGCAACCCCGGGGGTACAAAATGACCTCAGGGCGTACGGATAG